AGCAAGGAAAAGATAAATATTCTCAGTTCTGACTGTACATTGGAGTCACTTGGGTAATTTAAAAAAAATTTCCAGCTTTTATTGAAAGTTTTACATGTTTACTTTTCTAGATAAATTTTAAAATCATTTTGTCATGCTTCAAAATTCTATTCAGACCTATAATTAAATTTCATTAAGCTTATAGATTAATTGGATTGGAGCAGGAGACACAGGAAGGAATCAGAGTCAATGCCCAGGTATCCCTGAAAAAATACTTCTCTGCTTTTAGCCTTCCAGTGTCTCAAAAAACCTATTGCTTAGTCTCGTAATTTTTTTACAGCATGTACCAGTAATTATTTAGACTTGGTTATAACTCTTTATTTTTCAGTAATTTCAAAGAGAAAAGTTGCAAGACCGCTAATAATTTTTTTTCCTGGCCTTTCTCTGTTCATATCATTGTTTCTTGAATACTACATTGTCTTCCTCTTTTTTTTTTTTTTTTAGGATTAGTTGTTTTGCTGCTGTACATATTTGAGTCATTGTGCCTGAAAAATATATCTACCTTGTTTATACACTTGAATGCCAGCAGATGTTGAATATTAGATTAAAATGCATTTCCCTGAGAACTTTGAAGAACTTGCGTCATTGTTGAGAAAAGAGACTACTTACTCAATATTCAGAACAGAACGCTGAATTTACTTGCTCTAAAAGCCAGGGATAGCTGTATTATGTAAAATAATCTCTCTGAAGAAAACAGAGAACTGATCGGATTGTGACTGGTTTGATCAGGAGTAAGGTTTTGGAGTGTAATTGGCTTATAATTTTCCTTTCTTCTAAAAGAGTTTGTATTAATATAAATTACAATTACTTGTTTCTTGAATTTTAATAGAACTTGCCTGTCAGACCTTGGTATTTTCATTATGGAAAGATTTCTTTAATGATCTATTCAATTTTATGTTATTTCATTTTTTTGTGAATTTGTGCATTCTCTTGTTATCAGATTTATTGATAAAATTGTTCATAATGTAGCCATTCCTTTTAGGTGTCTGCAGCATCTATAATTGTGACTGCTTTCATTCCTGGTACTCGGTTGTACTTTTTCTTTTTTTCACTAATCAGTCTTGCCGGAACCGTCAATTTTATGTCTTGATACGAACTGCAAGCATACCTCATTTTATTGCGCTTGGCTTCATTGTGCTTCACAGGTACTGTATTTTTGACAAATGAAAGTTTATTATTTTTCATTGAGCAAGTCTGTTGGTGCCATTTTTCCAACAGCATGTGGTTATTTCCTGTCTCTCCATCACAATATGGGGATTCTTGCAGTATTTAAAACTTTTGCATTATATATCTATTAAGGTGATCTTTGATCAATGATCTCTGGTGTTACTGTTGTGATCGTTTGGGGGCACCATGAACTGCGCCCATATGAGATGGCAAACTTGATCTGTTGTAAATATTTGTTTTCTGACTGTACCATAAACCGGCCAGTCTCCCTTCTCTCTCCCTGTTCTCAGGCCTCTTTATTCCCTGAGACACAACAATATTGAAATTAGGCCAATTAATAACCCTAAAATGGCCTCGAAGTGTTCAAGTGTTCAAGTTCAAATTGCTTGTCTCACTTTAAATCAAAAGTTAGAAATGATTAGGTTTAGTAAGGAAGGCTTGTCAAATGTCGAGATAGGCCAAAGCTTGGCCTCTTGCGCCAGACAGGCAAAAACTTAAAATGCAAAGAAAAAGTTCTTGAGGGAAATTGAAAGTCCTACCTTGGGGAACACACAAATGATAAGAAAACAAAAAGCAAAACAGCCTTATGGCTGAGATGGAGAAAGTTGTAGTGGTCTGAATAGAAAATCAAACCAGCTGCAACCTTCTCTTGAGCCAAGGCCTAATCCAGAGCAAGGTCCTAATTCTCTTCATTTCTATGAAGGTTGAGAGAGGTAAGGAAGCTGCAAAAGAATGTGAACTTGGTTCCTGAGGTTTAAGGAAAGGAGTCATCTTCATAAAAGTGCAAGGTGAAGCAGCAAATGCTGATGTAGATAAGCTGCAGCCAGTTATCCAGAAGATCTAAGGTAATTGACATAGCTACAGAGGAGAAGTCAGTGCCTGGCTTCAAAGCTTAAAGGACAGGCTGACACTCTTGCTAGAGACGAAAGCAGTTGAAGCCAGTGCTCATTTATCATTCCAAAAATCCTAGGACCCTTAAGAATTATGCTAAATCTACTCTGCCTGTGCTATATAAATAGAACATCAAAGCCTAAGTGACAGCACATCTGTTAAAATATTTTCTTCATTTTTTTTTGTGTTTTTTTTTGAGACAGAGTCTCACTTTTGTTGCCCAGGCTAGAGTGAGTGCCGTGGCGTCAGCCTAGCTCACAGCAACCTCAAACTCCTGGGCTCAAGCGATCCTCCTGCCTCAGCCTCCCGGGTAGCTGGGACTACAGGCATGCGCCACCATGCCCGGCTAATTTTTTGTATATATTTTTAGCTGGCCAATTAATTTCTTTCTATTTATAGTAGAGACGGGGTCTCGCTCTTGCTCAGGTTGGTTTTGAACTCCTGACCTCGAGCAATCCGCCCACCTCGGCCTCCCAGAGTGCTAGGACTACAGGCATGAACCACTGCGCTCGGCCATGTTTATAGCACATTTTAAGCCCACTATTGAGACCTACTCAGAAAAAAAGATTCCTTTTAAAATACTATTGCTCAATGATGGTGTACCTAGTCACCCAAGCGCTCTGAGGGAGATGTACAAAGTTAATGTTTTTTCATGCCTGCTAACACAACATATATTCTGCAGCCCATGGATCAAGGAATAATTTTGAATTTTAAGTCTTATTTTTTAAGAAATACATTTCATGGAAGTAATTCCTCTAATGGATCTGGACAAAGTAAATTGAAACCCTTCTGGAAAAGAATCACCATTCTCAATGCTATTAAGAACATTTGTGATTCATAGGAGAAGGTCAAAATATCAATGTTAAGAGGAATTTGGAAAAAGTTGATTCCAAACCTTATGGATGATTTTGAAAGGGGTTCAAGACTTCAGTGGATAGAGTTACTGCAGATGTGGTGGAAATAGCAAGATAATTGGAATTAGAAGTGGAGTTTGAAGATGCAACTGAATTGCTGTAATCTCATGATCAAACTTGAATGGATGAGTTGAAGTTGCTTTTTATGGATGAGCAAAGAAAATTATTTCTTAAGATGGAATCTGCTCCAGTATAGATGCTATGAACATTGTTGAAGTAACAACAAATGATTTAGAATATTACATAAACTACTTAGTTGATAAAACAGCAGTGGAATTTGAGAAGATTGCCTTGAATTTTAAAAAAAGTTCTAATGTGGTAAAATGCTATCAAATAGCATTCTGTGCTATGGAGAAGTCTCATGAAAGGAAGAGTCCATCAATACAGCAGATTTCACTGGTGTCTTATTTTTAGAAATTACTGTAGCTGCCCCAACCTTTAGCAGTCTCCACCCTGATTAGTCAGCAGCCATCAACATTGAGACAAGATCCTCCTCCAGTGAAAAAATTATGACTCTGAAGGCCCAAATGATCATTAGCATCCTTTAGCAATAGAATATTTTTTAAATTAAGGTACGCACTTTTTTTCCTTTTTTTGACATAATGCTATGCATATTTAATAGATGTGAGTATAGCTGGGCACAGTGGCTCACACCTGTTGTCCCAGCTACTTGAGTGGCTGAGGAGAGAGGATCTTGAGGCAGGAGTTAGAGACCAGCCTGGGCAACACAACGAAACCATGTCTCTAAAAAATTTTTCTAAAAAAAATTAGCCAGGCATGGTGGCTCACACCTGTAGTCCCAGTTACTAGGACTACTAGGAAAGATGAGATGGGAGGATCACTTGAGGCCAGGAGTTTGAGACTAGACTGAGTGATATAGTAAGATCCTAACTCTTTAAAAAAGAAAAAGAAAAAAGAAAAAACAAAAGACTACAGTATAGTGTAGATATAAACATATATATGCACTAGGAAAAAAGTTTGTGACTCACTTTATTGTGATATTTGCTTTATTGTGGTAGTCTGGCACTGAACCTGCAATGTCTCCAAGGTATGCCTGTACCTTTTCATTTTATTGAACCTTTCTGATACATCTTTTCATTAAGTTTTTTTATTTGTGTTATTTCATTTTTTTTACTTAAAATTCTTCTTTGACTGCTTTAGATGATCAGTTCATTGATTTATTTTTACATCTTTTTATTTTCTAATGTAACTACTTAAAACTAGAAATCTCCCTCTATATCCTCCTTTTGCTTCATCCCACAAGGTTAGGTGTATAGTTTTGTAATCATCATTCACTTCTAAGTAATTTCAGAATTCTATACGATTTCTTCTTAGACTCATGAGTTTTTAGAAGTTTCCAAACATACACAGTTTTTAAAATGCTGTGTTTTTGTTGCAGCTGTCAGAGAATATGGTGTAAGATACCAGTTACATAAAAGTGTTGAGACATTCTTTATGGCCTGGCATTTAATCAATTTTTGTACACATTCCATTTGTATTCTTCTGTTTGGAAGCAATATTCTGTATATTTTTATTAAATCAAAATTGCTGATTATGTTATCAGTTCTTCTCTAGTCTTAATAATGTTTTTTGTCTTTTTGATTGTTTTATTCCTGAGATAAATATATTAAAATTTGTTCTTTGTGATAATGGATTTGTTAATTTCTCCTTGTATTTCCACCAATCTATTTATTTTGGAGCTATGTTATTAAGTACATATAAGTTTAGATCTTACATATATTAAACAGAACCTTCGTCATTATGTAGTGAACTTTATTACTAATAATGGTTTTTGCCTTAAAATTATTTTGCGGTATTAATATAGGAACACCTGTTTCTTTAAATTAGTATTTGCCTCATGTATTTTTCCATATTTTTTACTTTGAATCCTTCAGTGTCCTTAGATTTTTTTAGGTGTGCCTCTTTTGAAAAGTATGTAGAATGCTACTATTTTAACTTTACATAAAAATGTTTTCTGTGTGTTTACAGTGCTGGAGCTGCTGAAAGATGGCAGAAGAAGTGGTGGTAGTAGCCAAATTTGATTATGTAGCCCAGCAAGAACAAGAACTAGACATTAAGAAGAATGAGAGATTATGGCTTCTGGATGATTCTAAATCCTGGTGGCGAGTTCGAAATTCCATGAATAAAACGGGTTTCGTGCCTTCTAACTATGTGGAAAGAAAAAACAGTGCTCGGAAAGCATCTATTGTAAAAAACCTAAAGGATACCTTAGGTAAGATATTTTTGTATTAAAAGAACAATAACTTTCTTTTAAATGGATTTTGGAGCTTAGTTTTTTGGGTAGCATTCTGGCAACGGTGTGCAGAATTGACTTGAAAGGCCCCAGACTGGAATTTTAGCTAGGCAAGATAAGTTTGACTCATAGCAGGCCTTCAAGCCAGGAGACCAATGAAGGGTCATAAGTGTTAGCAAGCAGTTTCTGTAAATCTGAGCCCAGTTCAAAGGTTGAGCCAGAATGGTGCTAATGAGCCAAACTAATTCTGACATTGTAGCAGGGGCTCTTTGAACCATGACTGCCTGTTGGAGTTTAGACTTTCAAGCAGAATTGCCTCCTTGGCATCAAGACAACTTACTTTACATGGCTTATTGCCAAGTTTTAACATCTAATGGCTTACATTTTGAACTTCAGTTTAAAAAACAAACCATCGTTTTATTCTTCTATTTGATAAAGAGTTTTAAACTATGGATCATTACTGTATGTTAGCATCTACAGAGCTAATCTCTTTCCTGTTTTGTTTCTCTTTTCTCCCCTCATTTCTAACTATAAAGTTTAATTTTTAAAAATTTTACTGGCCTTCCATTAGGGCCCGAGACAGCTTCACATTAGGCTTGGCTAAGCTAGTAGGAAGGAAATATGCATGGGTGAGAACTGGACTCTTTTTTTTTTTTTTAAATTTTGATTCTCCTTAGCTGACAGGAAGGAATTGGGAGGGATAGAATTTCATTTTTGGTATTCAGACAAGCATGCTGTTGCTTAATGGTTCTTTTTCTATATGTAGGAAAAATGTAAAATTTCTCCTTGCAACATAGCATGATTGAAAAATATAAAATATTATTGACTCACTATACATTAGTTTTTATTTCTTCTTTTCATTTTTTTAAAGACAGGGTCTTGCTGTGTTGGCTAGGCTGGACTCGAACTCCTGGTCTCAAGCAGTCCTCCCAGGTAGCTGGGACTGTAGATGTGTGCCACTGTATCTGGCTTAGTTTTCATTTCTTATTCAACATTATTATTACTGTAGACTAGAATGATTTTTGATTATCAGCAATAGAAGACAAATATTTAATGTTTTTAACCATTGTAAAACAAAAACTAGAATATACCACAATTCAAAGTAAGATATAAAGTAATGGAATATCAGTTTCTTGAACTAAAAAATATTTCCAGTGTTCTAAAGGTCATTTCACAGGTGTATTCATAGTGATGTTTAACTGCAGAAGTACCTTTTTCAGATTTTAAGATTTTGCAAATAATATCTTTATTTCGACCGGGCGTGGTGGCTCACACCTGTAATCCTAGCACTCTGGGAGGCCGAGGCAGGAGGATCGCTCAAGGTCAGGAGTTCCAGACCAGCCTGAGCAAGAGCGAGACCTTGTCTCTACTAAAATAGAAAGAAATTAGCTGGACAACTAAAAATATATACAGAAAAAATTAGCTGGCATGGTGGCATGTGCCCACAGTCCTAGCTACTTAGGAAGCTGAGGAAGAAGGATTGCTTAAGCCCTGGAGTTTGAGGTTGCTGTGACCTAGGCTGATGCCATGGCACTCTAGCCCGGTCAACAGAGCGAGACTCTGTCTCAAAAAAAAAAACCAAACAAAAAAACCCCTTTATTTTAAGTTTTTATTTTACTTTATATTATTTTTGAGACAGGATCTTGGTCTGTTGCCCAAACTAGAGTACAATGGTGCAATCATAGCTTACTGCAACCTCCAACAACTGGGCTCAAGCAATCCTCCTGCCTCAGCCTCCCAAGTAGCTAAGACTGCTAGACATGTATATGCCACCATGCCTGGCAATTGTTTTTTTTATTTTTTGTAGAAACAGGGTCTTGCTACATTGCTCAGGCTGATCTTGAACTTGTGGCCTCAAGCAGTCTTCCCATTTTAGCCTCCCAAAGTGCTGGAATCCCAGGCAGGCATGAGCCACTCTGCCCGTTCCATTTTTAGTTTTGAAATGGAGGGGAAAGCAGGGATTTTCCTTGAATAGCTGAAGAGACTAGAGCTAGAACCAGAAATACTTCTGGTTTTATAAATACAAGACATTTATTTAAAGCATGTCGATTAGAGATATTGGGAAAAATTAAGGTAATTTCTATTAAAGTATGCCTCATAGTGATGAATGCATGGAGCAGACTAGGAATACCTAGATAGACTTTTTTGTTCCTTTTTAAAAGGTTACTGATATCCTGGGACTACAGAAAATGTGACAGTAATAAACAAATGATAGCTAAATGATGTCATAGAGCAAAGAGGAAAAATATCTCAGTTTTAGATGTTGTTATATATAAATCTAAAACCTCAATTAAATATAATTTTTTTTTTTTGAGACAGAGTCTCGGTTTGTTGCCTGGGCTAGAGTGAGTGCTGTGGCATCAGCCTAGCTCACAGCAACCTCAAACTCCTGGGCTCAAGCAATCCTGCTGTCTCAGCCTCCCGAGTAGCTGGGACTACAGGCATGTGCCACCATGCCCGGCTAATTTTTTCTATATATATTAGTTGGTCAATTAATTTCTTTCTATTTATAGTAGAGACGGGGTCTCACTCTTGCTCAGGCTGGTTTTGAACTCCTGACCTCGACCAATCCGCCCGCCTCGGCCTCCCAGAGCACTAGGATTACAAGCGTGAAGCCACCGTGCCTGGCCTAAATATAATTTTTATCATTTGTTAATATTCCTGAGAAACCTTCTGTACTATTTTCTGATATTATTAAGGCAATTTTATCAAAGTTTTATCTTTATTTAAAGCTTAGTAAATCTATGTTCACTTTATTACAATATTATAGTTATTGCTACCTATATTCCAGGATGCTTGGCAACATTTTTTAAAGATAGTGATCTGTGGTTAGCCTGTATAATGATGTAAATCCACCATTTGCATCAGTAAGCCTTTTTTTTTCTTTTCTTAGAATTTTTGCACCTTTTTGGTAACTTAAATGTCCCATAGAATAAATGGATTTGTTTCATATTGATTTTGCTGGTGGAGACATTGTTTGAAAGTTAAGAAGGAAAAGGAAAAAACAGGAAAGGAAGAAAGTGTATAGATGTTTTTAACTGTTAAAAACTATATATGCCTTAAAGCTTCTTTTCAAATAGGTCTGAATAATGTCACATTTTTGGCCACCATGACTTACTCATTTTACAGGTTCTGTTATAGTTCAGGGGGAAAAAAATTTTAGAAAGGGAGAATCCTTAGAAAAACTTTGTATTGCTTGGGTGTGGGCCAGGTCACATGGATTGGGTGTGGGAAGTTTCAGTGTTGCAGAACAGACCCGGAAGCTCACTGAAAATTATCCCGAGCTGTGTTAACAAACTGGCAAAAGAGAACACGGAATTTTTATTGAAAATGGATTGGTTAAACGTCTTTAAGGATTTTTTCAGTAAGTTAATCTGTTTATTGAACTCATTGTTTTCTTATAGTTTTTGAATTAGATTTTTCACTTTTGTGAATTTAAAGGAAAATTGTCTGGAGAGAACTTGGTGGGTTTATATAGGTTGCCACATTATGTTGTTTATGTGATATAAGCTAAATGATTGGTGATATCAAATAATAGTAGTTTTGATTTTATAAGTAAAATAATTTAAAAATGTTTTAGTGTGAATGTTTAAATAACAATTAGGGAAAGGATATAAATGGTTTGAAGTTCAATGCAGTTAGTTCTAATTCACTAACTTTCACTTAAGCACAGACATTTGAAGTGAATTAAAATATAAACATATTAAAAACATTGGGAAATAAAGAATTAGGTGAACAAATTCTTTCATCCTTGACCTTTGAATTAACATGATATTGTTTTATTATTTTTTACTTAGATTTTAGAGGAACAGTGTAAAGATAACTTTAACAAAAGTGCCAGTAAAAAGGATGTTTTGATTTAATCAGTGCAGGATTGGTATAATTTACTGCTTTGATGACTGTGAGATTTGATATTTTGAAATGAGTTCTGTGAGTTGTATATACAAAGGAAATAGTGAATTTTGGAGGCTGTTTTTGAGTTCAGGTCATGAAGTAATACTAATACTAGTTTACAAGAGCCTAATCTGTGTCTGCCGGTGGCCTTTTTATGATCTTATCGTAGTGAACTTGATTTGATTTCCTTGAACATTTGCTTGGTGTTTCTAGAAAAATGGACAGAAGAATTATTGTAAAAGTCTCATGCACGATAAGCCTAAGGAAACAAAGAGTAATCTGACAAGAGATTCCAGGGAAAAGGGCAAAACAGAAAAGGAGTAAGCACTTTGTTGAAAAAGAATGTTGTAATTGTAATGCGAAGACTCATTTGTTCTTCAGTCAGCACTGGTAGCTTAGTGAATCCCTCTGGACTATGTCTTTTAACTTCCGTTTACTTTTTGTGGCGTTATTAAAATTTCAGATCTTTGCATTTTCATTTTTTTGTTTGTTTGTTTGTTTTTCTTTTTGCAGTGGTCCCCAGCCTTTTTGGCTCCAGGGGCCGGTTTCATGGAAGATAATTTTTCTACAGATGAGGGCAGAGCAGTGGAACTCAGGTGGTGACATAGCCTGGGGGTTGGGGACTGCAGTTTTAAAGAACTTACTAATTTATTCATTCATTTGTTTATTAATATATGTTCATTGAGAGCCTATTACAAGCCAGGCAAAAATCATAGAGTGAAAAACTAGTACTACCTCTAGCAGATCCTACATTCTGGTGGGGAGGTAGGTGATGGTTGTTATTTAATAATAATAATAATAACTGGATTTCATGTCTAGGTTTGGTCATAAGTGATGTTGACCATAAATCAACCAGAAATGCTATAAAGAGTGTAAAAAGAATATGTTATATCATTGGTAGAGTAATTTAATATATATCATCATATATAAATGATATGTAAATTAGCTAAGTGCTTTATTGTACAATGATAAAATTACCATTCTCTCTACTGAGTCTTAGGAATTTGACAGTGAATCTTAAATGCATTTGTAGACCAAGGTCAGGATTTGAGCTTTGTAACTCGGATATTCCTTTCCTCAATCCC